GCCTGGTGTGGTGACACTCAATCAGCCTTTTACAGCCGAGGAGTAAAACCTGCTCGGCTGTTTACCTGTAGGCGATGCTGAAGTGTCCGTTGTTAGTGAGGTTGCTCTGGTTGGGCCCTTTCCAGCTGACTGTAGCCCGGGGTCGCCCACAAACCTTACACCTTAGGGTGACGCTCTCTCCGTTGTCACATGTCACATCACTCAGAGGTACAAGGAACTCTGGGGGAACTGAAAGGAAAGAGATTTGTTGTTGTCATTGTTTGACAGACAGGCTCCAAATCTGTGTAATGCCTCATTGAATGCAGGTTATGGAAAATGTGCAGGGAGCAAGTGAGCATCACATGTCCCGCCTCCAGCAGCGCCCTCTAGCCCACACCTAGCCTAAAGCCAACTGATATTTGCAGTGCAGTGAGAATGCATCTGATACAGACAAGCTGCTGCAGTGACAAAGAGAAACCTGGAACAATGTTGAGGGATCGGGTCTGGAGCTCAAACTCACCATCATAGATGTAGTTTGGGTTTAGAAGCTGGAAAGAAAGATAAACAAATGTCAACAGTCTGTAACTTCGAGGCATCGCTGTAGAGTTTTGAGGTGAAGTGAAACTCACCTTTACAGAAACTTTATTGGCCAGGCCATCTCTGGACTTCCTGTAACCATTTTCCAGCTTTGTCTCCTTCTTTGCCTCCTTCTCCTTTTTCTCAGACTTCTTGCGAATACGCAGGGACGTGTGCCAGGATGAAGACTTCCTGCTAGGAGAACGAAAGTCACGGCAGTGAGCTCAGTGTCTTGATAAAAACGGCAGATGAGAATCTCAAGTGCACATATTATGAAGTTGAAAATAACCCCCCCCCCCCAAATCATCTTGCTCTTACTTGATGGATCCCTCGGGACAGTCGGGGACAATGGTCGACGTGTGTCCCAGCACAAATCCGGGGATCCAGCCCTCGGCGGCGGGGCCTTGCTCGGTGGATGCTCTGAACACCAGAAACATGTTTTGCTGGTTGCTGGCCAAGATCTGGACCACCTCGCCCTGAATGACGCTGATCTCATCCTCCTTCACAGCTGTGTAGTCCTGGGTCACCAACATGGTGGATACGCTACTGCTGCTGCTACTTTCACTCTGCACCACAGGGATGGAAAACGGTAAGGGCAAACTCAGATGGACATGCAGCGATTATGCATTAAACACGGTAACTTTTTCAAATCTAAACACGTGGGGTGACGTCTCTAGCGAGTGCCACTTTTGATGAGATAAAGAGAAAAAGAAGTGGAGGCTTTGTAAAAAGACATTCGAGCGGAAGAAAGACAAAACGGGGATTTATTAATTTCTTCTCGGAAAAGGCTAACTGGATGAAGAAAGGCAGGAATAAGATGAAGTTTTCCATTTCACTCGTCTTTGCTCTGCAGCTGGACGCAAAGACGAGAGGAGAAACGTTAGGCTGAATGAAAGGATCTCCGTTTGCAGGTGAACCGCAAACGTCAGAAGTTAGTTGCAGGAAAAGTACATTTAAGTAACACACCATGAAGACGGCCCAGAAGAAGTCAAGTGTTAGTATAAGCTTTGTTAGAGTTAAGAATCTAGAGACAGCCTTAAAAGATAATCAGTGAAGAGGTGAGCGAGGTCCGCTAGAAAGATTTTGAGCCTGAAAACATGTTGACAGTTGAAGCCTTGTCTAGAGATTGTCCTCAGAAAGTGTTTAAAGCTACAGAGGATGATGCTGAAGAGCAGTGGAGGTTGTCAGAGATGCGCAGTAAGGGACAGATTAGTAGCGCTGGCAGCAGGACAGGAGACAACAAGGCAGACAGGACAGACCGGCCCCCCCTCTGCCTCTGGGTTAGTCGGATCAGCACTGGGCAGCAGGTAGTGGTCTTACCCCGTTGCTCTGGGTGGACTGGATGGACTGCTCGCTGGCCGATGAGCACGTACTCATGCGGTCGGCCTCCTTGCTGTGCGTGGAGTGTCTGTGGGTTTGGCTCTGATTTGAGCTTTGTCGCACCGGAGTCTCTCCCGCCTCTCCCGGAAAGGTAAATGAGCCAGGCCGGCTGGCTGGAGAGCCCGGCATTGAGCTCCAGAATCCAGATCCAGACTTTTGGTTTTGGCCTGGGCTGGGAGGGGGAGGGGGGAGAGTGTCCTTGCCAAAGGCGGGAGTGGCCATGGGGGAGGCCATGGGAGACACGGCTCCTGGCCGTGGTTTAGAAGT